TACAATGAACTGTTTATGAAAATAAATATTAATTTGTGTAAATTTTGGCCCAATTTTCAGCAAAATAGACTCTGATGCTAAATATAATTTAGGGTATTGCTGCTTTGTGATTCAAATGTATTAAGTTACTATGCTAACTGGCATGTGGCTAACATGTGGCAAACACAAAAGTAGCATTGATAGTACTTAGCAAGAAAGCTAAAATGAATAGGTCACAAGACCTCAAACTCTTCCACCAAACTCAAATGTCATTGTTTGTTGAGGAGATATTGTTAATTCAGAATAAAACTCGTGTTCTCAACGAGGTGTACTACAGCTAACAGTGCTTGACCACTGAAATCTAAAAAATAGTCAAGGACTACAATCTCATTGGCAACAGTAGGCTATTTCCTCAGGAAGCTAGCTTGGCTACAGATTTTTTTTAAATATGTTTCTGTAATTTTGTAGGCACATCTGTGGCCCAATGACAAAGACTGGAACTTGACAAACTGAGAGAGGAGCATTTACTCATCTTTCAGTGCACGTACGTTACAGATAAACCTGTACTCTTTGATAAAATACCGATGGGTGTCAAGCACGCTAGTCAAGTTGCTTGTGACTCAGTTTTCATGCTGAAGGGCATTCCGCATAAAATCTTGCAGATCATCAAGAATGAGATTTCGTACCAGATTGGTCAGGGGCCGGATTAACAATGACCACCAGATGCTGTTGTCCAACAGGATCCCGGTGGAAAAAAGAGAATTGAAATGGGGAAGGCATGTTAGGAGGCAGTGGGAGAGAAGGGCTGGAGTGACAGAGGAGGATGCAGGGTGAGATGGAGGGGCACCCCTGCAGGAAGGAGCTAAATAAGAAGAAGAAGAAGACTCCGGCTAATGCATATTGGAGACTGCCCTCTGTTCCAAGATGAGTTTGGTTTCTGGGACTTGACAGTCCAGCAGAAGCAATGGCATTCAAGTGATAGTCAGTCATTAGACAAGTTTTTTTACGCAACAATGGAAAGACCAGTTTGATTGAAGAAGGCTGTTTTAGCTTATTATCGTTTTTTTTTTTCTTGCAGTACTCCACATTTCCCCCAATGTTCTGCCCTTCAGTAATGTCTTTTAGGATGACAGAATTTAGGCGGTATGTAAAATGTTGAGTAATCCACTGACGAACATTGACATATCCCTGAAAAAGGACATGATTATTCTCGAGCAGGTTACAGCCATAGCCCTCAATCATCGATTCTGTGCTCAAGAAGGTGACCCCCAAGAGATCTTTCCAGCAGTGGACGTCCCAGTAAATTCGTGCAATGCTCAGAGAAACTGCAAAAACCCCAAGATTTACATATCAGACTTTCAGTTCATGATAGTACAATTAGAAAAAGACAGAACAAGTGTGACTTTTCTGTAAGTATTGGCAGTATTTCTTCATGCACGCCTCGTGTTTTGACACGTCTCAGCGGAATATGAAGAACTGAACCATAATACTGTTCATCACACGGTGACCTCGGTAGCCACGGCAACCACAGCATCAGTGGTGACCACATTTGCATGTAACATTGATACCACTGACAATGGGGAATGAAGATAGGACCCAAAATTGAACACAAGAGGATTATTTGTTCATGCAACTGCGGTCTTTGTGCTGACCCTCCGATCTGGAAAGTGTGGACACGCTGTATGAAATCTGGATAGGAAGAGAAGTGTTTGACTGTGTGAATTGGTCATTTTTGTTTGTACCATTACAGAGCCTATTTCAGGCAGTCAGAATAGGAAACTTCAGAAAGATCTGGCTGTGATCTACTTCACTGTTATCAAGAAAAACCAAACATGTGCTGCTAAGGCCAAAAATGAGTTATCAGATGCACAAAATTAAAATAACGCTCCTTTAAGAAAATATCTCAGTGACTGAATCAAAATATCTGAATTAGTCTCACTGGGCTTTAAGCTATCAGTTTCCCAGTATAAAGTCAGCATGATTTCAGATTGCAACAGTGTGAGAAGGTGAAAGAAGATGAAATCCTGAAGCCACCAAAGTGAACACCTTCCACCACCTGTCTATACATCGACAGGTGGTGTCTATGCCTACACAGGTGGTGGTCCAAAAAGGCTGTCTAAAAAAATATGAACAGAATTGGTGACAAAGGGCAACCCTGGCAGAGTCTGCCACCCACCAGTAAAGAGTCCAACTTATAGCCAGCAATACAGACTAGATTGTAATTAAGAGAAAAATGGGCTAAATAATTGATTTATTATGAAGCATTAAAGCAGTGCTATAAAATGTAGGAATTACATAACTGCTGCCCCACTCGGGATGTAGGTACTTGTTGTTTTCTGGGACGTATGGCTGGATGTTCTGTTGTGGTCGCTGACCCACTCCTTTGGTGGGCCTCTTCCATGTTGGGGAGGGGGGACTCTGCTGGGTAGTGCCTGGAGCCATGGGACCTTGATCTCGACTCACAATGGGGTGGCCGACCTCCAGCAGAGTCGGCTGCCCATCAGCTCTGGTCCTCTGAGACTCCTGCCCTTTAGCAACTGGCACCTTATCTAGGGCCTTCCTCCTTCTCCTGCTGGGATGGGCGAGCAGATATCGCTAAGATGTGTGGCCTCAGGTCTTCAGGACTCTTGGAGCTACAGATGGCCCAGATCTCCTGGACCTATCTCTGTCTGCCTCTGCTTCCCACCTCTTCCCACCATCATTTTCAAGTACTCTGTTTCTGTCTCTCACACTCATATTAAAAAACACCACACAAGAAGATTATTGATTTATGTACCTGAGCATTTTCAAATTTTTGCGTTCCAGGTACTGAATGTTTGTTCTTCTTACAGGTGCTTTCAGATCATTCTGATTCTGATTGCAAAAGCTGCCAGACGGGACAGGATTTTTTTAAAGTGTGTTTCTCTTTCATTTTTTCACATTCAAAGACATCCAGATGTGTATTTTTCCAGCTGTAAAGAGGTGTTTCTCATCAGCTGAGCGGGGTCCTTAAATTCTTCAGTAGTCTGGTTTGGAGTACATTCGGTCTTCACTGCTGTTTGCACATCAGTGATTTCAGCTTGAAGCACTAGAGGGCAGACTTCAGGCAGCAGCGCTGCTGAATGTGAGAGAGGCTTTCACTGTTGCCTCCACATCAGGAGATATCAGTTTCATTTTCCATTATTTAAGATTTAATTGGTATGATATAACATGAACCTTTTTGAAGGCCTCCATACAGCTGATATGTTTTTTCAGGTCAGTCATCTTATTAACACTGTGGGAAGTTATGCAAATGCCCAAGGCTTTGTTGATAGCACAGCAGAAACAAAGCCTGCAGACTACAGCATTCATTTTTGTTGGAATAAGCTGCTGATTAATTTTTTACTCCAGGAATAAAATTATAATCATAATTTCAGCATTGGGACTGTAGTGTCAGTTCTCCTCTCTCTTCCTTCAACAGACTCTGATTGCAAAACATTGGGCAAAAATCCATCTAAGCAGAGATTCCCAGAGCTCCCTCACTGCCTCCTACAGCTTTTCTGGGCAGGACACCGAGGCATTCCCAAGTGATACAATATGGTATGAAAAATAATATTTCACACAAGGTATCACTTCACAGTGCCGATGTTCCAAGCTTTTGTTCAAATTCAAGTTGAAAGCTGATAATATCAACTTAATTTATTATTTTGTACATCAAATGATATTTCTCTCTGAAACTTGAACTTAAACCTTTTATAGGGGCTGTATCACACTGTTTTGTCATATTATTTGTTAGACAATTCAGTTAATTCGGATAATTAAAAAGAACTAAACAAGGTTTAGACGTCCAGTAACCAGAGGGGAGGCCAAGCACACAGTTTACCACTACACCCAGTTAAACTGTTACTGACTGTTATCCAAGTGAATGACTGTTTGTTTGTTTAGTGTCCCTTCTGAAGGGAGGGAGTATGTAACTGGTTCAGTTTGTTTGTTTGTCCATCTGTCTGTGGGTTAGGTCCCTGAGTCCACAGTTTTCAAGATATAATTTTGAATTTTTTTCTGATGGTAGATGCCAATAACAGCTCGAGCTGATTTAATTTAGGAGAAAATCAGTTAAACTTTTATAACTCACACTATTTGGTTGGGAAGTCTTTGACCTTGACCTTCATTGTTAAAGGTCAAAGTTGACCTTGAAGAAAATTTTCAAGAAACCATACTGAGTACTCTGTTACATGAAAAGGGACGGAGAGAACTGTAAAACACACTTTATATATTTTTAATACGACGCCCTGTGACATAACAATGACACCATAACAGGCTAACCTCATCATACTGTAAAAAGCATTAGAAACTGTCAGAGTTCTAGTATAGCCTTTGCCCTTCGAGTGCATGCTCACCAGGCTGTAAACATGTTTTCTGAGAGTATATAAAGATTGACTCATTTTTCTTAAGTGGTCACAAGAGAAACTCGTGTTTTTGATTCTTCCTGCTTTGCGTCATTTTTACGCGCAACAATAACTGAGGAAATGACAAGTATGGTAACTAATATCAAATGTCACGCTGTCAATCCTTTTAAATAATCTGGATAAATTAAAGTAAAATGGCAGTTTATTAGAAACGTAGACAAACACAAATCCAGTGATTCCAGACGGGGCTCTATCAAGTAAATCGAAATATGATTAATGAATGTCTAGTCACATCAGCACATTTTAAACACATTAATGTGCACATAAGAATACTTGAGGACAAAAAGGGGATTCAGAGGTTAATTCTATCTGAAGAACATCAGCGCACGCTGTCTTTACTGTTCTTCGACATGGTTGTCATTAATTAAATTATGCTAAAAAGAAGACATCATGTCTGTGTTTTCTACACCCCAGACCTTTGAAGGATGTGAGAAGACTAAAAAATTGCTTCTTCCTGTTGAATTTTTCTCGTCATCATAACAAAAGACAGGGCAAAGTAAATGGTACAGATCCTGAGGAAGTAGCAGCCACTTCCTGTTCAGTCAAGCGTGCCCGATAAGACATGGAACAGCCCTTCAGCACCACTGCCTTCTGTTCACTCCACCTCTCCCTAAGTAAAAAGTCCTCCCTGGTCTGGTTGTGACTGCCCTTTCTGGCCTCTGTCCTTGCAGATGTATTGTAGTCTTTCAGTGGTAAACCACCTTCACCCAGGATGGGCTGCAGACCCCCCGGCTTGCTGTTTCTGACTAGCCTGCTACACATCTGTAAGAACCCAGACTGAGGATGAAGGATGTTACTATATTATAAACAAAATCTCCTGATTTTCACCTGATATTTTTTTTCTTCCACTCTGTGTGACTTACAGGGCATTGTGCTGGAGGACAGGGGTGTAAGTATAACTGCATTACACGCCTGATCTTATAATAACTAGTGCAGACTCCCCGGTGTAGTAACAGTTACAGTCCTTTCTATATTTAACAAAAAAGCTGTTTTCACACAAAAAGAAATTGATTTGTCACAGGCGATGCTGGGCCATGTTTTAATCACCTTCAATTTGAATAATATGACATTTGAAAGCTTTCAGAAGGCAATATAACTAGGTGTCTATAAAGTTGCCACGATCTTAGAAGACCACCTTTCCTCTGAAATAAAGAAATAACACCCGTGTTTAAAAAATGTAATTCTATTCTGGTGTCTCTGAAGCGTCCTTATTAAAGTGGCATCTTGTTGATTTAAACTTTGAAAGCGCTGGTGTCATCATCATTCAAAGCTAGGCTCAGGGTTTGTTATTTACAGCACTTCACATCCCAGAATTCAGATTAACAGCAATTGGCTACCGTAAGGATGTGGAGTGATTGTTTCCACTTCCACTGTGCTGTTGTTGTGGAGGGAAAGCAGAAGTTTGAATGAATCCACATGGTTTTCCAAGGGGATGTAGAGGGTCGGCACTGTTTACTGAGGTGCTTTCCTTCCTCCATCAGTTCCTCTGTGCACCCGACTGATGAACAGGAAGCACCTTTCCATAGTCTTAACCTGGCGCTTGTGCTGCTGTTTAGGTCTTTTTTTATGTTTGTTGATTATTTCTTTCCCCTTCATCTTCTGTTTCTGTGTCTGTGTGTGATATTTGTGGACTACAGCATACACCATAGATACTGTTCGCCTCACAATCGAACCCAGGAACGCAGTTCAGACCGGGACAGCAGTGAGGCTACGCTGCCAGGTCAGCGTCAGTCACAGCAACATCCCTAACCTGATACACAGTTTCCAGCTCACACGGGACGATGTTCCTATCTACACCAACAACGCCACGGAAGACACGGTCGAGTATAAGATCAACCCAGCCAGAGCTGCCGACTCTGGAAATTATGAATGTCGAGTCTCAGTCAAGAACAAGGCCAAAGCCAGCAACAGCCAGAAACTGGATGTGAAAGGTACAGTTACATTTACAAGTAAAGGTCTGGAGATTATTCTAAGTGTGACATTTGCATTTGGAAACTGTTTTTATAAAGCCACAAAATGCAATCAAAGGAGCTCTCAGCACAAACGAAGCTTATCATCTTTTCTTTGCACAAAATGTATTCATCAAGGAGAATCAGAGCAGAAGGAACGCCTAAATTATCCGTTTTTCAGCGCGAACAAAAAAAAAGTGTGCAATCGTGGATGATCTCAGAATTTTTTCTGTGTTAAAAACAAATAGCCTGCAGCGGCGGAGCCAATCAGCTTATCTCAGCATAATCACACTTTTAAAGTTTACTGAAGACAAAATTGAAAAGAAGGAAGGAAACCACAACAAGAGGAGGCAGCTGCAGTAAAGGCCAACTCCTAAGAAGGAAGCCCATTTCAGGCGGGAGCTGCCTGTCCAGTGTCCAATTACATTTGAGCCCTTAAAAACTGGCAGCTGTTTAGGGAAACTGTCGCACTTTCTACACATTTTATATGAAATGAGTTCAACATCTGAGTCTTGATTGTTTGATGTCACACATATCCAATATTTTGTCTAAAATTGAGCAAATTTTCTAATATTTCTGGATCTAACTACATATGCACTGTATTATTATATATATTATTTGAACTATAATATGAAAGCAATATGTCTGTAGTAATGTGGTTGTTTTGCTTTGCTTATTTTTTATGACTATAAATAATAAGATATATACTCCAAAAATATTTTGCGGCCCCAGACTTTTTTCAGTTTGTCACCAAATTTGTGAGCTACAATCACACACTGGCTAATGAATGTCTTCCCTCAATTGTATTTTGGCAGTAGAGCTTCTCACGTCCAAGTGCATGTCTCGTACCCCCTTTTCTTCCTGCCTGGCAGCTCCATCTTCAACATCCCTTGTCCTCCTCTGCAGATGCTCAAGCCTTTGCAGCCTTTATTCGCTAACTTTGTCCAACATTTGGAGAAACTAATATACTTAATATACCTGAATGTGCTTTTCAGGCTTGCAGACCCCGACCCTGCATTTGACTACTTCATCGCCCTATGAGAACGAGGAGTTTAAAGCCACCTGCAGTGCTCCAGAGGAGAAAGGACCCCTTATTTTCCAGTTTTACCAGAGCTTTAAGACCGGATCCCCTGAGGTCATAAAGCAGTTGTCACAGGGGGGCAACTCATCAACGGCTACACTGAGACTGAGTCACATCGGAAACTGTATCCTCTACTGTGACTATGAAATCCGCTTGGTTTCCGGGAACCAAAAGTCTAACAGTAGCAAAAAGGTTGAACTCATAGTCAAAGGTGAGTCGATCGAATGTTGTTATGTCACAATGAAAAGCTCTGAGTGCCTATGGAGGAGTGTGTCTGACTATTCTGGATTTTGTCTTGTAGCACTCCACATCGCCCCCATCATAAATATACTTCCCTCCAATAGTCTCTCTGAGGGTGATATAATTGAAGTGGTCTGCAGAGTTGTCAATCCTCCGAGCAACACTGAAGTGTTCTTGACAAAAGACAAAGTGATCCTCAAGCAGGTCAGAGCTGCAGCCCTGAGTCATAAATTCACTGTACGAGAGGATGACTCTGGAGAGCTTGTGTGCAAAGCAGAGTGGGGCAGCGTGCAGAAAGAAACCTCGCGAAGAATCACAGTCAGATGTAAGCATCAATTACTCTGAATTTTTCAAACATGGCATCATTTTTTTTTATCTTATCAAATTAAATCAAATCAAAAATAATATATATGCACACATAAAGATTGTATGAATCCTTAATTTTTGCTCTCTAATCCCAACAGCGCTGTTTTCAAAGCCACAGCTGACTGTGGAGCCCACAGACATAGTTGAAGGAGACCACTTCAAATTGACCTGCTCTGTTAGCATTCTTGATTCCAGTAAGATCAACAATGAAACCATGCAGTACTCCATCTTCAAAGATAAGACTGAAGTCGCAAATACTGCCACGTATATGACTGTGGCACAACTTTCTGCAAGTGGCAACTACACCTGTAATGCCACGTCTGATTCTCTGACACGCACTATTGTGAAGGAGAGCCAAAAACATTTCGTCAAGGTCAAAGGTGAGTTTAATCCAACCGAAGTTTTGCTGTTGTCACAATAAAGATGTGGGACATGTTTTACTTTGTTAGCCATGCACGTAATGTGTCAGCCTGTTGGTCCGTTTATTCTGTTGGTTTAGGCTTAAGTGTTACATTCAACATCTATTTAGAAGAAATTTGGAGACATTTCTGAAAATTCTGTGAAAAAAAAAAAATGGATTCACTCCTCTAATGACACCATTAGCCATTTTCGCACAGAGGTGCATCTAGGAATGCAAACACCTGACTCAGTCAGATCACACTGACTGACCTTTTCTTAAACCAAACTGAGTATCATCTGTAGAGAGAACGTGCGGGAATCAGACCCTGTCCTGATCTATGCAACAGGTGAGAAACCTCCTCCTAAAATAGTGCACAGTTCAGTTTGTGCAGAGTATGAAAACAACTAGCAGGTCTATTTTTGTATTGAAGAAAAAGGTCATGAGATTCCCATCATCCTCAACTGTACTTTGTGTTTTGTTTCAGATCACACTTGTTAACATACTAACACACTATACGGTGATGGGGAACTAGCATAAGAGGATGAGCATATTGGCATTTACCTGGAAGCCTTACAGTGCAGCATCAGAGTTCCCAGCTTGGCTGTAGACTCACAGTCTGGTTTAATGCTATCTTATTCTCCATTCCCAGTTCCTGTTTCAGAGCCTGTGCTGTCTGTGGTGGGAGGTACGCTGTTTCTGGGAAAGCCCTTCCAGTTGAGTTGTTACAGTCAGAGAGGCACTCTGCCCATCAAGTACACCCTGTATCAACCTAGTAAACCAACCGACATAAAAGTTGTGAGCAAGCGCGGTGAAAAGGCTATCTTCAACCTCACATCCATCACCCAAATATCGGACATAAAAAACATTCTTTGCCATGCAAACAACAGTCAACTAAAGCCTCCCACGGTGGGAACAGGAGAGCAACTACTAAAATCGTCCGACATCATAGGTTTGTTGGACTGATGACCATGAAATGAATAAAACTGATATAAAACATGTTGAACCCAAGTCTAACACGTTTTTTATTTCCTCTGTGAAGAACCTGTGTCAAAACCACACTTGACCACTGAGCCCAGGATGGAGGACATCTCTGAGGGTTACAACATGACTCTTGTCTGTTCTGTTCAGAGAGGTAGTTTTCCCATTAACTTTACCTGGTACAGTCTGGGAAAAGGTTTCCTTGATTCTAAGACCTCCAGGAAACTGAAAGAATCTCACAGCATCAGCAATGTCAAAGGAGATCATGCTGGAGGATACTTCTGTGAGTGCACAAACCCAGCTGCAGAGCCCAAGCAAAGTGCCATCATCATAATTGGAGGTGTGTGTTTTATCTTCAGTTAAATGTGTGTGTGTGTGT